TGCCGCTCCAAGACCTCGCTGCCGCTCCAAGACCTCGCTGCCGCTCCAAGACCTCGCTGCCGCTCCAAGACCTCGCTGCCGCTCCAAGACCTCGCTGCCGCTCCAAGACCTCGATGGTTTTATATCCTGTTCTTCGTTCTTTTTTTCAAACAGCTAAGAGGATTGGGGCCACTTTTTTTTTTTTTTTTCTGCTTCTTTCTTCTCTGTTTAGGGTTTTTCACTAAACACTGTTCTTTTTTAAGTTGTTTAATGCTTTGTTTCTCATGCCTAGACCTGCCTCTGCTGATTTAACAAAGGCAATTGATTTGGGAGAAGGTTTGTTCAAGCCTATAGTGTTCTGAATAATAAACATGACAGGTCTTTTCTTAACTTTCACACACAAATTCTGATCCTGTGTTGCTGTAAAATAATGATGAGGATTTCCCTCTTTGACTATGGAAAGCAGGCATTTGGATCCACTCACTGCATTCTTGAAATGGGTACAATTTCAAACGTGGAATTTTTGTGCACTCAGTTTTTTTGTGCCCCATTTAAGTCCTTTCCCAATGATTCTAGCTCTTTTAACACACACCAAGCATGATGTCTTTCTCCATTTTATTTCACTGCCATTGAGTTGACTCCAGCTCATAGTGATCTTCTAGGATAGAACCTGGTGGTGCCATGAGGTAGCTAAGCAGCTGCAGGAGCCCTGCAGCGCCATCTCACAGAAGCAATATCTAATAGGCTTGCAAACTCTGAGATTGTTGCGGAAGAAACTGAGGTGCCTCTTGGCGTGTTTCTGCCTCATGATCTTCATGCCTGGCCTACCAGGGAAAAGTCATTGAACCTGCCTTCAGTCATTATTGTTTAATGCATCAAATCTGTCTTTCAGATGATCTCTAAATTCAGGTGGGATATGGTCAAGGCCATATTTTGGCTCTCGTGGACTTGCTTTAATTTTCTTCAGCTTCAGCTTGAACTTGCATATGAGCAATTGATGGTCTGTTCCACAATCTTACCCTGGCCTAATTTTAGCTGATAATATGGAGTTTTCCCACCATCTATTTGCACAAATGTCAATTTGATTCTTGTGTATTCCATCTGGTGAGATCCATGTGTATAGTCATCTTTTATGTTGCATTAAAAGGTATTTTCAATGAAGAAGTCACTGGTCTTGCAAATTTCTATCATGCAATCTCCAGCATTGTTTCTATCACCAAAGCCTTATTTTCCAACTACTGATTCTCTTTGTTTCCAACCTTTGCATTCCAAACATCAGTAATTTCAGTACATCTTGATTGCATGTTTGATCAATTTCAGATAGAAGAAGTGGTAGAATTCTTCTATTTCATTATCACTGATTATAGTGGTTAGTGTATAAATTTGAGTAATAGTGGTATTAACTGATCTTCCTTATAGGCATATAGATATTATTCTATCACAGAGTCATTATACTTCAAGATAGATCTTGAAATGTTCTTTTTGATAATGAATGCAATGCCATTCCTCTTCAAGTTATCATTCCCAACAGAAAACCATGTGTAGGATTTAAAATGACCAATACCAGTCCATTTCGGCTCACTAATGCTTAGAATGGGAGTACTGGTGTGGCATTTTGTACTAAAAGGTCCATTTGACCCATAAGGTCAGAGGTTCAAGCTCACCAGTAACTCCTTGGGAACCCTATAAAGGGTCACTATGGGTTCGAACTGACTTAACGGCACTAAACATAACATAACATAATTCTTAGAATATTGATGCTTATGCTATTTTATTTTTTGACAACTTCCAGTTTTACTAGGTTCATACTTCGTAGTCCATGTTCTGATTATTAATGGATGTTTATAGCAATTTCTCCTCATTTTGAGTTGTTCTCCAACAGCAAATGAAAGTCTTGAAAGCTTTACTCCTTTCACATCATGGGCAACTCTACTTTGAGGAGGCAGGTCTTCCACAGTCATTTTTTGATTGCTTTCCATCCTAAGGAACTCATCTTCTGGCACTATATTTAAGAATATTCTGGTGTTCTTCATCATCTTTCAGTATTCTGATCCGATCTTACAGTGTTCCAGTGCTATTTATAAGGTTTTCAGTTTCTAAATATTCTGAAATAATCGCTCTATCTTTCTTCGTAGTCTGTCTTAGTCTTGGAAGCTCAGCTGAAACCTGTTCACCATGGGTGACCCTGCTGGTTTTTAAAATATCGGTGGCATATCTTCCAGTATTGTAACAACATGCCAGCTACCACAATATGACAAACTGATGGACAAGTGGTGGTGTCTTAATAAATAAGGACTGTATTTGTGTGTGTGTGTGTGTGTGTGTGTGTGTGTGTGGTGCTATAGCAAATCCTAGGAGTTGTGAAGTAAAGTCCCTTGGTCAGCTTACTCTCTGAAATGAAGTAGAAACATGGAGACAGATCTGCTGTCATTTGCTACTTGACCAATCATCAGTGGCAGTACTTATGCTCATGGAGACAGCAGTACAAAAGTGAGGTTGAGCTTCATTGCCCTGGGAACTCTTGGGGAGGAGGGCAGCCCCCAGGAAGAGGGAAGTTTGGGACATGAAAGGAAAAGTGGACCAACCATCAGACAGGCCACTGTCTTCTCTCTATTATCCAGGGGGACCATGTGTGGCTGGAAACTCCCTCTGCCAACAGAACTGCTGTGGCCATTGGAGGCATCATCAAAAAAACAGAGCCAGACAAAGTCTTGGTGGAGGATGACGAGGGGAAGGTCAGTTTCATCAAGCTCTCTTAAAAGACTCTGCCCTCTTGGTCTCCCACCTAATTCCCTTGACCCAAGATCAAACCCCCTTTTCTATACTGCTCCCAACACCAAGGTTTCCAAAAACTCACAGGGACTTTTGTAACAGGACATGCTCACTCTGGGGGTTTCTGCCATGGTAAACATGTCTTGGGTTTTGTTTCTACATGAAAAGGCAAGGGATGAGTTGACAATCATGGAAACTAGTACAACTAAGGGGCAGGGAAGAGGGGAGTAAAAAACGGGCTTTCTTGGAGAGAAGGGGGGGCCAGAGGTTGGTTTTCAAGTAAAAGGAGGCATTCTGGAGGACAATCAGCAGGGGAGGAGGACTGGCAGGAATGTGCAGAAATGGGGCCTAAGTCTTCTTATGCTGAGCAAAGCAGCATAGATGAAAATTCAGAATCTGAAGGCTAGGGTAAAATGCTAAACACCCAACTCATTCTTGAAAACTTGTATACTTGAGAATGGGGCAGGTCAGCAGGTGAGGTGGGAACCAGCATGCAGGATGAGGTGTCACCAGTCATCCCTGATTGGTGACTTGACTCCTCCTTTTGCCAAACTGGACACTTCAGGGTGGGGCCCACAGACACTTGGTCTCCAAAGAGAAGATTCTGGACTATGATCTGTGCATTCCATGGTATGGAAACCAATTAATTGCCTATTTGAAAACTTAATAACACTATTTCTGTTTGTATGATGCTGTTCAGTTTTTAAATGCTTTTTACAAATACTTGTACACTCTGATTCCAATAACCTGTGGACCTAATTTCAGACAGAACTCTAACCCCAACACAGCCTAATCTCTATAACCTCTGACATTCGTCTGAAGTTCCTCGTGAGCCCCAACTGCCCACTGGCCATAGATGTGTGCTTGTTGCCATCATAGATTGGCTTGAGTTAGCCACAGATTTACTCTGATCACAAATTAACCGGCCAGAGGTTGGTCACCAATCCTAAGCCAGCTGATCTGTGAGCCCATGGGTCATCTTGTTGTTGAGAACTTGGATGAGAGGGTGAAGCAGGTTGATCCTGCTGAGGCCATCCCTCCAAGTCTATTCTCGGTACCCTTTGTTCCAGGAACACTGGATCTGTGCAGAGGACTTTAGCAGTCTCAGTTCCATGCACCCCAACTCAATCCATGGTGTAGATGACATGATTCGCCTGGGGGACCTGAATGAGGCAGGCATGGTGCATAACCTCTTCATCCGATACCAGCAGCACAAGATCTATGTGAGTCCAGAGCTCTGCTCCATGCCCTTTCCCTACTCCCCTACTCCCACTGGAAGTCCCAATCCTCCAGTGTAGGAAACAGGCCTCAGAGGCTCAGTTCCTGCCCTCTACCTCCCTATGACCACAGAAGCTCCACTTGAAGGGGGCTGCATCCACACATGCTGACCTCCTGGCATGGGAAAGAATGTAATGCAACAGGGGTTTGGAGTCAGTTACATCTTGTTCAATCATACTCCCCATCTTCCACTGTTTCCATCTGAATAAAGCAGATTAATCCTGCTCTCTTTGTAGGATAAAGGAAGCTGAATATAGTAGGTGCTTAGTTTTTAATAATTAAGCTTAATTAGTGATAACTCTTCCCTTCCACCAGATGGCTAAGTCTGAGCAGGCACTAGAGGCCAGCAGGGTAGACACAATCTTCCACTTGCCCCCTTCTTAAGTATGTTGCAAAGGCCAGGGTCACCAGACAGAAGATCCTGTCCTCCTGTGAGGACTAGCACTTTACTGTCAGCATGGTCACCCAGGGTCACAGCCCACAGATGAGGAAGTTGTATGGGTAGACGGATATTTCTTCCAAAGTCCAGTAGTAGATGGACAGTTTCCTCACTCTGAAGTTACAATGTAGGTTTCCCCAAGAGTGAATTGTCTCAACAATGATGTCAGCTTGTCCTCAGTGTGCTCAGGCAGTGGAGGGAGGACAGTACCAATGGTCCCAAGGACTGTGGATTCCAGAGCTCAGTGCAGAGTGTGTTTTTTGTGGAGCCTTGTATGGAAGGACAGGTAGACTGGGAAGCTCCAGGGCTCCTCTGGCTCTGCCTTGATGTTCTGGACTGCTCAGAGATTTGGGGACCATTGGACAGAGGAGAGGATGCTAAATGTTGGCAGAAGTGGAACACCTATAGGAACAGAGCCCAAAACAGTGACTTGTTGTTTTTAAGTGCCATCGAATTGGTTTTAACTTTTAGTGACCCTATATAGGGTTTCAAGGAGTAGCTGGTGAGTTTGAACCACCGACCTTCTGGTTAAAGCCAACCTTGAAGTCTAGTGCTTTATGGCACAGCACCACATCAGGACTCCTGATTAAATGTGGACCAGAGCTCCTGAGACTGATAACAGCAACAAAATGAATTGATTATTGTACCTTTTATATTTTGCAAAGTGTTATATGATGTATTCGTTCATCTGGTCCTCTTGAAACCAGAGGGATTATCCTCTCCATTCTTAAAATGAAGAAAACCAAGACATGAGTAATCATGTGACTTGCTGAGGTGACTGTCCCTGCCCCACCCATAGAAGGGCAGCTGGTCCCAAGGTGCTATAGGGAAGCAGGCTGAAATTGTCCTAGGGCCCTAGCTGGGCTTGTTCCAACAAGGACAAACACTGGTAACGAGCCTTCATAGAAACATAAAGCATCATTTTTGTTGTCTAAGTACTACCGCGGTGCTAAATGTTTGACAGAGATGGTCTCCCTCAATCTTCCTGTGAACATGCCCATTGGAAGTTCCTCTTTTAGGTGGTAGCCCCAGTCTTTCTTAGAAAGAGTATGAGAATCTAAGTAACTTGTCCAAGGTTTCAGCATCCACTGAGTTGACACCCTGCCCAGAATCTGACCCCATCTCCCTGTCAGAGTCCATGGCCCTAGTGGCCTAAGAAGGTTGTCTGAAGTTATACCCAGGGCAGGGCACTGATATTTGCTCCCTCCACAGACATACACGGGCTCCATCCTGGTGGCTGTGAACCCATTCCAGGTGCTGCCTCTCTACACCCAGGAGCAGGTGCAGCTGTATTACAACCATCGTGTGGGCGAGCTGCCACCCCATATCTTTGCCATCGCCAACAGCTGCTACTTCAACATGAAGAAGAACAAGAGGGACCAGTGTTGCATCATCAGGTGGTGGGGGGAAGGTGGAGGGGAAGCTGGAGTAGACAAATGCATCCAGGCACAACCTCTAAGCATCTTGTAAAGGCTCACAAAACACCCTCTTTCCTTAAGCCTCTTGTTACCAGCATTCCTGAAGCAGTGATGAGAGTTAAGGCTTGTAGTCCCTGGGTGGTGCAGTTAATGTGCTCAGTTACTAACCTAAAGGTTAGAGGTTTGAGTCCACACAACAGCACCTGGGAGGTGATCTACTTCTGAAAACACAGCCACTGAAAACCCCATGGAAGACTGTTCTACACATAGAGTTATTATGAATTGGAGCTGACTAGACTGCGACTGGTTTGTTTTATTCAATACACACATCCTGGGAGAGACACACAAGCATGAATGGACTTGGCTCTGGTTCTCTACTCCCCCCCACCCAATTTCCATCTTTCTGTATCTCCAGGTTTTGCACCTCCCCAGTCTTCATTGTTTACTAAGTTAAGAAAGGAAGGACGCAGGGTCAATGAGGAAACTTTTTTAGAAATGGGGCCCAGGGCAAGTATTTGAAGTTGTAGGAATCAAACAGGTGAGGTCATATCCCCAAAAGTCCCAAGGAAGCCTCAGAAAGGACAGAGGCAACTGTGACTCCAGGTGACTGGACTCAGAAGGAATGTGCCCCTCCTGTGCAGGTTGTGACTCTCTTCCACAGACTGTTTTGGGACCCATTCTCTACCTGCTTCCTAACTTCTTGTTGTTAAATGCCATCAAGTTGGTTCCAACTCATAAGAACCATGTATGGGATTTCCGAGTAGCTGCTAGTGGGTTTTAATCACCAACTTTGTGGTTATTAGTCCAGTGCCACACCAGGACTCCTTTCCTAACTTGGCCAGGAGTTAAAACTGAGTAGCTGAAATGTGGGCTTTTACAGTGCAAATACTAAAGAATCCTTTGGAGACCTTGTGAAAGTGTAGATTATGATGCAGCCGATCATTGAGGAGCCTAGGACTGTGTTTCTAACCTGGCAATGCTGTTGGTCTGCAGAACACATTTTTGGGTTTACATTGCAGTGATTGGAAATTTCCATAATAAAATAGAATGTATAAAAAAGCATGTTTTAAGTCTTAATAATAAAAGTAATAACTGCCAGTCTGAGGCTATTCTATGCACCAGACACTGTATTTTTTAACTTATTAACAACAGTGGGCTCAAACATAACCATTGTGTGGATGGCACCGTACCAGGCAGTGTTTTGTTCTGTTGTACACAGGATCACTATGTGTCAGAGCTGACTTGATGGCACCTAACAACACAACACTAAGTAAATTTAAAACAACTAGTTCTCATTTCTCACCATTTATAATTAATATATATTCATTATGAACATATTGGAGATTTTCAGAAAAAGAATTGCAAAATATGTTTCTAAGAAAAGGCTTCCCTCTACCTATTGTTGTTGTTGTTGTTGTTAAGTGTTGTTAATTCTGGCTCATAATGATCCTCTTTAGGGTTTCCAAGGAGTGACTGATGAGTTTGAACTACTGATCTTGTGGTTAATAGTCCGGTGCTTATCCTACAGAGTTACACCAGGACTCTTCTCTCTATCTACTTGATTTAAAGGATTCAAAATTTTCACTTACCAGTAGACTTAACTTTAATGACTGTTTGTTGTTCTCTGAGAGCATGTACTATAATTTATTTCTCCCATAGAGGTTACTTGAAAGTTTACATAATTATAATGACAAATGATGCTTTAAGAGTAGGAAACTTTATCAGAAAGCTTTTTCTGAATTAAGATTATTTCCTTAGGCTAAAAGGTGGAAACCTTTCTTATAGTGTCACACCTATGCCAAATTGGTTCCTAAAGGTATTTTACAGTTAGTTTTCCATGGTCCACGTTGATACAGCTGATTGTGGGTAAAAATCACCACTGTTGTCTAGCCCTGGCTGCTCAGTCTATACCTTACTGATTATGCTATCAGCCATAGCATAATCAAGAACTGGCTGTGTCTGTGAAAAGCTGCATCCTGACAGGGAGAAGATAGCTGGCAGCACACTAAAAACTAAAGCAGAGTATATGGTCAGACAACCAGAGATCTTTGGGGAACATGCAGTGGATTTCCACAGAGAGAGAGCTTCCCTGGTCAGACAGTCTAGAGGGGGTCTGTGGTGCATTTGTGAGGGTGCTAAGTGGTGCTAGAGAAAGATTTTTTGTTGACAAAGGTCCATCTTTGCAGTGGTGAGTCTGGGGCTGGGAAGACGGAGACCACCAAGCTCATCTTGCAGTTCCTGGCCACTGTTAGTGGCCAGCACACCTGGATTGAACAGCAGGTTCTTGAGGCCAATCCCATCCTGGAAGGTAAGGGGTACCCTCAAAACTGATGCACTGAATTAAAAGGGGTTCTAGAACTTTCCCAGTGAAATAGGCCTCTTGCAGAGCCTTTGCGGTATATAGGACCTTAGATGGAATCCTGAGTCCCTTCCACAACCTTCTGAGGTGGGACATTCCCATTAGAAAGGACAAACAGACCAGCCTGGAACAGCTAGAGTGACAGAAGATACATCTTCAAAGAATTATCATCAGGAAAAAAACACAAAAATGGCAGTATAACTGGCTACTACAAGAATAAGCAAGCTGTTTGCCGGGAAGCTACCAAGGCAAGCAATCAAGTTCCTTCAGGACAAACGTCCCTTTAAGACTGAAGCTCAAAGGGAACACATGAGCAGGCATGTAAGCCTGCTGGCAACTACAGGGAAAGGCAACAATGAAAAAATGAATAGATTTCATCTTATTTAGATGGGTCTGGTGAAAAGAGATGGGGATAAGATTTGTACGATTCAATAATGAATAATTGTTATCATGACTAATTGTGACTGTCATAATTGTAAAGGTAGAAGTTTTGTAACAAAAACAGGGGAATGATTAATCTTACAGTCCAGAAACAGAGGACCCTAGGACCATCAAGGGAGAAGCGCACAAGCAGAATGCAGGACCTTAATCAGAGAAGCAGCAATGCCAGAGACAGAGGCAGAGATGGGGGCATGGAGATGGGGAGCACCTGAGGACTCTAGATTTATGGGAAGAGAGGGACTAAGAGCTGGTGGTCAGGAGGTAGACTTGCAGAATGTGCCCTTTGGAGATATAAATTATGATATATACCTAAGTAGTTTTTTTAGAAAGCTAAAGTGGATAGAGAGAATTGCTGTTAATTGATGGTACATGGAGGGGATTATAATCATTGTAATGAAAGAAGGTGTATGATTTGTTTTATGTAAAACTGATGATCTAACCTGTAAACTTTTACTCAATCCACAATTAAAACCTTTTTAAAAAATAGGAAGTTTTCCATCCTCTTCTATATTCTGGAATAATTTGAGTAGAATTGGTGACAGCTGGATATTTGGTAGACCTCACCCGTGAAGTCATCTGGGCCTGGTCTTCTTTTCGTTGGGAGTTTTTTGATGACCTGATCAATTTCTTCTTTTGTTATGGGTCTGTTCAAGTTTTCTACTTCACTCTGTGTAAGTTAAGGTAGGTCGTGTTGTTATGCCCAGAATTCGGGGTCCCCAAAGACCACCAAGGAGCTGACGCTGATGCAAGTGCACAAGGGTTGTTTATTCAAGCTCGAGCCTGGGCCTTCTCCGTATCCAGCACAGCAGACTCGGGAAAAGGCCCTGAGCTCTTTGTTAGCGGGGGTTTTTATAGAGTTTTCAAACAAGCTTAGGATTTTCAGCTTTACAATATTTGGATTGGTTGACATTTGGCAAAGTATGAGATGTTACAGTTTAATTGGTCAGTGCTGGTGGTCTTTTGTTCTTAGGCTAGGATAAGGAAAACATCTGGCATCTGGCTTTGGGTTGTCCTGTCTATTACTTATCTAGTTCTTGCTGTTGCTAGGGGTGAAAGGATATTCTAAGGCAGCATGAGCTGATTTAGCACGTTCCTGGAACAGGAGGACATGTTCAGGCTAATGTACAGAATGGAGTCTTTTTCTTGGTCCGACAGTGTTTTTCTATAAATGCATCCATCTCTTCTAAGTTTTTTAATTTGTTGGAGTACAACTTTTCATAGTATTCTGTTATTATCCTTTTGATTTCGTTTGGTTCCGTTGTGACATCGCCCATGTGGTTTCTAATGAGAGTTATTTGTGTTTTCTCCCTCTTTTGTTAGTTTTGCCAATGGTTTGTCAATTTTATTAATCTTTTCAAAGAACCAGCTTCTTGTTCTGTTGATTCTTGCTATAGTTTTTCTGCTTTTCATCTCATTATTTCTGCTCTTATCTTTATTATTTCTTTTCTTTTGGTGACTGTAGGTTCCGTCTGTTGGTCTGTTTCTAATTATTGTAGATGCTGTGTTAATGTGTTAATTTTGGTTCTTTCCTCTTTTTGGATGTGTGCATTTACCGCAATAAATTGTCCTCTCAGCACCACTTTCTCCGTGTCCCAAAGATTTTGGTATGTTGTGTTTTCATTTTCGTTTGTTTCTAGGAACTTTGTGAATTCACGTTTAATTTCTTCTTTTACCTAGTTGCATTTCAGCAGGGTGTTATTCAGTTTCCATGTATTCTACTTTATTTCCTTGATCTTCTTATTGTTGATTTCTAGTGGTCTGAAAAGATGCTGTGTAGCATTTTGATGTTTGTAAATTTATGGAAGCTTACTTTGTAACTTAACACATGGTCAATTCTGGAAAATGTTTCATGTGCACTAGAGAAGAATGTATATTGTGCTGTTGTTGGGTTGGTTGAATGCTCTGTACACATATATGAGGTCAAGTTGGTTGATTGTGTTGATTGTGCTGTTTAGTTCCTCTGTAACTTTGTCGGGTTTCTTTCTGGTTGTTCTGTCCATTTCCATAAGTGGCATATTAAAATCTCCCACTATAATTGTAGATTTATCTTTTTTTTTTTCAAGTCTAGTGAGGTTTGCTTTATATATCTTGGTGCTCTTTCATTAGGAGTGTAGATATTTATTATGGTTATGTCGTCTTGCTCAATTCATCATGAGATAGTGTCCTTCTTTATCTCTTATGCTGGTTTTTGTCTTAAAGTTTACTTTATCAGAGATTAGTATTGCCACTCCTGTTTGTTTATTGTTGCAGTTAGCTTGGTATATTTTTTTCCATCCTTTAACTTTTCATCTATTTTTGTCTTTGTGTGTAAGGTGTGTCTCTTGCAGGCAGCATATTGAAAGGTCTTGTTTTTTTTATCCATTCTTCCACTCTCTGTTTCTTCACTGATGCATTCAAGCCATTGACATTCAATGTAATTATTGATAGGTATGAATTAATTGCTGCCATTATGTTATTTTATTTATTATTTATTATAAAATAAACATATTTTTGCTGTTCATTCCTTTGTTCTGCATGCCTTTTTGTGCTGAGTTCATGTGTTTTGTGCTATTTCTTGTCAGTTTCTTCTTAGTTTTCATGTTTGATTGTTCTGCTTGGAAGTTCATTTTCATGGTAAGTTGTAAAGTAGTGAGTTTCTTTGGGGTTACCTTATAGTCTATTAACTTTTCCCTCCATTTAAGACAGTCTATTGCCTTCTGTAATCTATCTGACCTCCTCGCCACCTGGATCTCTGTTCTTACATTTTTCCCTTCTTTGACATTGTTATTATTTTGATCTTTGGTTGACCACCCAGCTTCTTTAAATTCATTGTTGTAATTTTGTTCTGTACTGGACTCTGTTTTCCATCATCTGAGCTTCAGGTGGTGTTGCTACGCCTGTCCATCTCTGGTTGTTGTCTGTTCTCATTGGTTTTCATTCCAAAGAACTCCCTTTAGGATATTTTGAAGTGCTGGATTGGCTTTGACAAAATCTCTTAGCTTCTGTTTATCCTGGAATGTTTTGATTGCACCATCGTATTTGATTAACAGTTTTGCTGGATAGACGATTCTTGGTTGGCAGTTTTTTTCTTTCAGGATTTTGTATATGTCTCCCTATTGTCTCCTTGCCTGCATAGTTTTTGCTGAATAGTCAGAGCTTAATCTGATTTGCTTGCCTTTGTAAGTAACACTTCTCTTTCTCTGTCTGCTTTTAGGATTCTCTCCTTGTTTTTTATTTTGGAGAGCTTGATTATATGTCTTGGTGATTTTCTTTTAGGGGTCTATCCTTCCTGGGGTTCTTTCAGCTTCTTGAATGTTCATCTTCTCATCTTTCAAGATGTTAGGGAAATTTTCTTCCAGAAGCTCTTACACTATCTCCTTTGTGGACGTCTCTCATTTGTCCTGTTCTAGAATAATTCTTAAGTTGTTAAGAATAATTCTTAAGTTGTTCCTCTTCATGTTGTCCAGCATGAATCTTAGACTCTTCAGATTTTTTTAATCTTTTTTTTCTGCTTGCTCTTCTATCTTAGCAGTATTGAGAGATTTGTCTTCCAGCTTGCTGGTTCTGGCTTCCACCTCTTCAATTCTGCTCCCTTACGCTTTCAGTGTATTATCCATTTCTGATATTTTATTGTTAATCATCTGGATCTCTTTTTGCAGGTTTTGTATTGTTTCCAATGCTGTATTGATCTTGTTTGATTGCTCTTGTAGTACTTTCCTGACTTCTTCTTTGTTTTCCTCCACCCCTTTTCGGAGCATTTGAATTTGTTTCCATATCATTCTTCTGAATTCCTTCTCAGGCAAATCCAAAACCTGCTCTTCTTCTTCTAGAAAGCTTTTGTCTGTCTCCAGCTCATTAGTCTCAGCTACTGTTTTTTGTTTGTGGACATATTTTGATATCTTTTGTTGTTTTTTGTTTGTCATTTCCAGTAGTTGTGTGGATTTTTAATGCTTAAATGGATGTTTGTTGCTGTGTTATTAAGCTTACTGGGTGTCTTCTGGTGGATATGATCAGGACATAGGCTTTTCTTTTCACATGTAATGCTTAGCAGCTGTTGTTGGCTCTTGTCTCAATGGTGGAATATTATGGTGTGTGCTTGTAGCTTGGCTATATGGCCATGATTGTTGACTCTTTTTGGGTAACATAGGGAGAAAAAGCTCCCACCTCCAGGAAAAATGTGTGATTAAAAGGCCCCAAAGCAGAAGCAATATAAAACCAGAGACAAAATCCACCACTTTGAAACAAAAATAAAACTGTGGACAACTGGCCAGTCGCCTTGCTACACAGACAGTGTGTGTGTGCCATAGAAGCCTCCAGTAGTGGGTGGGGGTGTCCACTTGCTCAGGCTCCTCCTCTAGTCATCACCATAGAGGTGTGCAGATAGATATTGAGAAGTTAATGGGAGGAAGATTGTTTACTATTTTTGTCTCTGAAGGTCAGTTAGGTGTCTGTGTGTGTGCAGCATATTTCTTGAAATAGTTGTGTCTTTTTATGTTGGTGTTTTACAGACTGTTCATATGGTTTGTCTG